CCCTGGCCATGAAGGGGGTAAAACCTTTCTGGAGCTGTAGTGGTAAAAAAAAAGAAAAAATGCTGTATACTTTCTTTATTCTACAAAGTGAAGGTCAATGATTTCCTTTAATCTGTAGTAAACCTTAATCCTAAAATGTGAAAATGGTATAGCGAGCGCTACAGACAGAAATATGTAAGCAGCTAGAACACCAAAAAAGGCAACCAACCAACTTTACAGTAATCAATAAAAAGAGAAAATAGGTGCAGCGCTTGAATCAGAATACAAAAAAATTCTCTATAAGGTATATATGCATATAAATGTCAATGATCAAAAAGATAAAATCGATACAAAATGTGATACAATGGTAAACAGTGCGCTAATCAGTGAGATATGTTAAAGCACACGTAAAGTCCTCATCCCAGATCAGTGGTTATAAGAGAGGTGAAAAATCCTAGGAGCGGATAGAGTGCGCACTCACCAGAGGTGCGTTTAAATAACGCATGTAGAGAAGTATAATCTGCAAAATCTCTCCGGCATCAGAGCTCTGGTCAGATCGCACTCCGTACTATCCTCTGTCTCACCGCGAAGAGCAGTAACCAGGATTCATCAAACCGTGTAGGCGTCAAAGGTACTCCTTAGTCCAGATAGGCACTGTGGGAGGTGGTGCTCTCAAAGAGAGCCCAATAAAGGACGCCACATAGTGTGATGCTGTTTGACTTAGGTTTATTAGTCAAAAAGGTGAAACAACAAAAAGTTACTGACCATAGAATGTTGGCCACATATAGTGGCTAGATGTCCATATGCTGTAGCCCACCTGACGTGTTTCGTGCGATGCACGTTCTCAAAGGGTCAGGGCTTACAGCAGGACATCCTTCCCCATCTATTTATACACAGAAATGGCAATCGCGCTAGTCGCGGCGGCCATTTTGCCGGCGTCTCGCGCATGCACAGTAGATCGGCGCCATTTTGCCATGGGTCACTGGGGAGAATGCACTTATTCCCCTAGTGTCCATTAAAAATTATATAGAACATACAAGGCGGCGCCATGTTATAGGTGGGGAAAGCAGAATCTCTTATAAACGCCGATCGGGCTGCTGACAAAATAAACGTTACTATTATAACTAAAAGGAGCATTATGCTGTCCAGTAACATTAGCTTCATACAAAGAAAACCATATCCAAATAAAACTGGGTGATTTACTGCAATATGTTCATATTGTATATATGTATATATAAATGCATGTTGCAGAATTTGCATAATATAAAATTAGGGGAAATTATTCCTTATTCTGCTTTCCATTTAAATATGAATATGAATAGTCAATCAGTGATTACTCACTAATAACTTTACCAAAAAGGTTTAATAAAATTTAAAAATCATGATAATAAATGATTATAAAATAATTGTGCGATTGCCATTTCTGCTGTGATAGATAGATGTAGATAATATAGATACATTTAAAATCTAATATATTTTATTAAGTATATATTTTAAAATTAGGTCAGTACGGTATAATCCATTTCATATGGTCAGAAAAATAAACTCATAAACATCAATAATGATACATAAGAATAATACATAATAAAACTACCTAAAAACATATATAAAATAGAATTCACAATGACAAGTTATGTTGGTGTTGTTAATAATAGGACACTATCAACCACATCTACTCATACAGGGCAAGAGTATCAATAATTTCAGGACAATGTAAACGCACATTAGCTGTCATCAATGAAGCAATTCAAATCAAATTCAATATTGTGGCCTTTTGGGTATAAGGATCCAAGGTCATATATCCACTTAGATTCTAATTGTGAGATCGCTCTTTTTTTATTTTGTCCTCTCCAATGTGCGTTTATCATTCCTATACCCATAAATATTAATGATGATGGGTCTTGGTTGTGATGCGTTTTATAATGGAGGGATAATGAGTGATCTTTGTAGCCCTTCCTGATATTATTCACGTGTTCTTTTAAACGATCTCTCAGCCGTCTGGTTGTTCGTCCAATATATTGTAGGTGGCAGGGACATTGTATTAGATAAACAACATATTTACTTGTGCAGGTAATAAAGTCGTCAATCTTAAAGGTCTTGCCGTTTGCTGTAGAGTTGAAACTTGTATGTCTGCTTGTAAAGTTACTATTAGTACAGATCATGCACTTTCTACATGGGTAAAAACCTTTCATTTGTGGAAAGAAAGGAGCATATATAGGGGGGTCGAGAACATTTGGGGCTATTCTGTTCCCCAGCGGAGTGGCTTTTCTAAAAGCGATCTGTGGTTTATCTGGTAAAAATCGTCTTAAAACTGGATCCGACATAAGAATCTTCCAATTATTACGAATTATCCTGGTGACAGACTTATGTTGAATTGAATAGTTTGTCACAAAGGGACAGACTCTCTCAGGTCTCTTGTTATCATTATTCTTCAACATCAAATCTCTGTTAGAGTTGCCTACTTCTGTCATAGTTTGTGTCAAAGTATTTTCATCATAACCCTTTTCAAGGAACTTAGTTTTAATGATGGCGGCCTGTTTATAGTATGTATTAACATCGGTACAGTTGCGTCTAATTCTGGTAAACTGACCCTTTGGTATATTCTGCAACCATGCCGGGTGGTGGCAACTTTCCAGGGGAATGTAACTGTTTCTATCAGTTTTCTTAAAGAATGACTCAGTTATAATTCTTCCTTCCAGATTTATCAAAGTCAGGTCCAGAAAATTAATGTTCTCATGACTATAATTAAAAGTGAGACTGATGTTAAGAGAGTTAAAATTCAAAGTGGTAAAAAAATTTAAAAGTGATTCTTCATTGCCATTCCATATGAGGAGGATGTCATCTATGTATCTCCTGTAAAAGGAGAGTTTGGGCCAATCTCTAGCATAGATGACATCCTCCTCCCACCTGGCCATAAACAAATTCGCCAGGCTGGGGGCGAATTTCGCCCCCATCGCCACCCCCTTAGTCTGTAAATAAAACTGCCGATTAAAACAAAAATGATTCTTAGTCATTGCGAATTTCAAAAGTATTAAAATAAAATCCTTCTGTAAAATTGGTATATCACTAAAATCATCTAAGAAAAACCTCACTGCTTCCATACCATCCGAGTGGTTTATATTAGTATACAAAGAGGCTACATCGGCTGTAACCAGGAATGTATCCGAATTAGTAGATATGTCTTTAATATCATGAAGAACCTGCTTTGTGTCTTTAAGATATGCTGGCGTTTTCATCACAAGTGGCTGTAGGAAATGATCTTTATATTTACCTATTCTGGCCGTTATGTTCAGCAGACTGTGTTCTTGTATTGTTGTGACTTAGATGACATTCAGAGCACATTTTATGCCCAATTCATGCAAAACTCCACGTAATCCCAAGGGGTTCACATACTTTTTCTTGCTACTGTAAAAAAAATAAACAAAGGAAAATTCCAGTATATATACCATAGTTTGTAGGCACTATAACTTTCACACACACACCAATCAATATACACTTATTGGGATATTTTTGACCAAAGACATGTCACAGAATACATTTTGGCCTAAATTTCTGAAAATTTTTTTTTTGGATATGCTTAATAGCAGAAAGTAGAAAATGTTTTTTTTTTTGCTCTTTGATCACCCAGTGGTGATCAAATACCACCAAACGAAAGCTCTATGTGGAAAAAGAAATTATATCAATTCAATTTGTGTAGTGTTGCATGACCGTGCAGTTACCAATTAAAGTGGTGCAGTGCCAAATAGCAAAAATGCCCTGGACATGAAGGGGGTAAAACCTTTCTGGAGCTGTAGTGGTAAAAAAAAAAAAGAAAAAATGCTGTATACTTTCTTTATTCTGCAAAGTGAAGGTCAATGATTTCCTTTAATCTGTAGTAAACCTTAATCCTAATCAGTGTGTTTACAGTGTGGATTATTATTATTGCTATATGGCCATCAATCTTGATATTTCATCATTCAATTTCAGCGCTGACATGTACAGCCGATCCTATGGGGCGCAGCGGTGGCACCGCAATAAAATGGCAGTCCATTCTGGTGCTACCTGGGCAGCACAGTGGCTAAATGGTTAGCATTTCCACCTGGCAGTACTAGGGTCACTGGTTCAAATCCCAACTATAACACCACTTGCCTGGAGTTTGCATGTTCTCCCTGTGCCTGTGTGGGTTTACTCCAGGTACTTCGGTTTCCTCCCACACTCCAAAGACATGCTGGTAGGTTAATTGGTTCCTGTCTAAATTGGCCCTACTATGTGTATGTATGAATGTGAGTTAGGGACCTTAGATTGTACGCCCCTTGAGGGTTAGGGACTGATGTGAATGTACAATATATATGTAAAGCGCTGCGTACATTGAAGGTGCTATATAAGTACCTGAAATAAATACCAAGGTTCTTAGGGTTTTCTTCCGTTCAAAAAAGAATGGCTGATCATCCGCTTACATCGGCTAGTCCATATAAATACACGGGGTTCCGTTTTTCATCCGTAAACGGACAGATGATAAACGCACATATGGAACGCCCGTGTGAAAGGGGCCTATAGCGGCCATGGACGGTCAGGTATAAACAGGGGCGGACTGACAACTCATGGGGCCCCCTACTGACCTGGGGCAGTGCTAGTTTCCAAACGGTCAGTCCGCCCCTGGGTATAACACACCTTCCATGTAATTAATATTTTCAGGCCATGTTTTGCTGGAGAAAGGTATTCAGGTTGATTTGGGGCTGAAAGGACCAGTCACACCCCTATCATGGAAGCAGTATGGAAGTCTATGAATGTAGAGTGGTGTGTGGTGGAATCTACAGCTTCTTGTATTACATTTCTGATGACCTTCCCTCGCGATCACTCTGTGCTTTGTACACAGTGGCTCAGCCGCTTTTAACTGCGCATGCGTGAGCCTCCTCGTGTGGGCAGACGAGTCTGGCAGGGCCGGCTTCAGTACGTCGCACGTGCGCCGGAAGTGTGGCGACCTATGCTGTGCATGCATTGACCTTCCTGCTTTCATGTGAGGAGAGGAAGCAGAGCTCGGGATGATGCTGAGGGTGCTCGTGCTCTGCTGCAGCAGGGGGGCCGGGGTCAGGGTGAGTGATTCGGGGGTGTACAGTAATCTGCATGTAAGGGGGGGGGTAATAATATTGTCTATATGTCCAGAGATGATCTAATGGCCCTGGATGGATAAATTCTATGTAAACCATATGTGTATGTAAGCAATGGCCTTGTGTCATGGGCTGTTCTCTAGTATGTTAAAGCAGAACTCCGGGCAGTCATTTCCTGATTTTACCATTAGGGCTCCTATAGATGTGGTTGGGGGCTGTAAAAAATGTGATTGAGCCACGCTTTTACTCCCCAAAGTGATATTACTCTTAGATTGTTAGCTCCGAGGATCATGACCCTCCTAACCCTCTTGTATTGAACTGTATTGTCTCCCCGTTATATTGTAAAGCGCTGCGCAAACTGTTGGCGCTATATAAAATCCTGTATAATAATAATAATAACTAGCTGATAACCCACCACCTCTCTATACAAAATCACTCCCCCTACCAGCACATCCCCCACAGTTATTACCTTTTGTACCACTAGCCCCTCTCTGTTAGATTGCAAGCTCATCAGGGCCCTCCTATCCTTCTTGTATTGAACTGTATTGTTGCTGTATTGTCTCCCGTTATATTATAAAGCGCTGAGCAAACTGTTGGTGCTATATAAATCCTGTATAATAATAATAATATATATAAATCCTGTATAATAATAATAATATATAAATCCTGTATAATAATAATAATATATAAATCCTGTATAATAATATATAAATCCTGTATAATAATAATAATATATAAATCCTGTATAATAATAACCCCTGGCCTATCAGGCATGTTCACCCCCTCCCTGCCCAGGCCAATTCTCAGCTTTCAGCACTGTCACACTATTGTTCAGTCATGCAACGTTGTACCCATATGAAATTGTCTTTTTTTTTTTTTTTTAGACATATAGTGCTTTCTTTTGGTGGTATTTAATCACCACTGGGGGCTTTTTACTTTTTGCTAAACAAATTAAAAAAAGGCTTTGAAAAAATGTTTTTCTTAGTTTCTGTTATAAAATTTTGCAAACAGGTCATTTTTTCTCCACTGATGAGGCGGTACTGATGGGCGGTACTGATGAGGTGGCACTGATTGGTACTGATGAGGCGGCACTGATTGGTACTGATGAGGCGGCACTGATGGGCACTGGTGGGGCAGCACTGCTGAGATGGCACTGATGAGGCGGTACTGGTGGGGTGACACTGATAGGGCGATAGTGATGAGGCAGCACTGATGGGCGGCACTGATGAGATGGCACTGATGGGTACTGATGAGGCGGCACTGATGGGCACTGGTGGGGCAGCACTGCTGAGATGGCACTGATGGGGCGGCACTGGTGGGGTGGGACTGATGAGGCGGCACTGGTGGGGGCGGTACTGGTGGGGTGACACTGATAGGGCGATAGTGATGAGGCAGCACTGATGGGCGGCACTGATGAGATGGCACTGATGGGCACTGGTGGGGCGGCACTGATGAGGCAATACTGATGAGGTGGCACTGATGAGATGGCACTGATGGGTACTGATGAGGCGGCACTGATTGGCACTGGTGGGGTGGGACTGATGAGGCGACACTGATGGGCACTGGTGGGGCAGTACTGATGAGGCTGCACTTATGGACACTGACTGGCGGCACTGATGGACACTGTTGGGGCACCACTGCACTGCCTCTGAGGTTTATTATTATTATACAGGATTTATATAGCGTCAAGCTATAACTCATGTCAGTTTTTATTTACCATGTGTGTGACATTGGAGAAATTTCCCTTTACTTCCTGTACTATAGCCACAATAGGAAGTGAGAAGAAATCCCTAAAGAGTGAGGGAATCCTGGCTATTATCTGAACTCGTGTCCCCATTGGAAGATTCACCCTCTATTTCTATTCTGGTGACAACTAGGGATGAGCTCAGGCATGTTTGGATCCTAGTCTAAACTTATTTGGGCAAGCCTACCAGGAAGCTGTCACCTTTACTGGGTCAAATCACTGACACGGGTTTATAATCGGGGGTGGGCTCCCAGTCATGTGATCGCTGTGACAGCCAATCACAGTGATCACATGATCAGGAAGCATGCAACACCTCCAGCGTTAAGAAATTTTTAAGCATAATTCTGACCTATCACCAGCACACAATTTGAAGATGAAGGACTGAACATGTATTGACCTCTGTTAGAAAGCAGTATTGTGGGGCCCCTGAGGACCCCTTCCTCAGGCAGCAGCTGTGAATCTGTATTGCCAAATATCAGAGAGCTCTTCTTTCATGTCAGGATAATGAAGATTTGTGTCCAGTGTTTACAGTTGTTGCTTTTCTCACAGCTGCTGTCTTCCTTTTCATCTGAGCCTCTACTTCCACCCAACCTCATCCTGCCTCCGGGACTAAAAGATGGACCCACTAAAAGTAAGTGAGACAGACATGGCAATGCTTTTCTTTTAAAGGAAGCTGGTCCTGCGGGAAACATAGAGTCTGCCATTGCTGGCCTCTGCCTCTGAATATGCTAGTTCCCTGGCTGTCATGTTGACTCCTTTTGTACATTTTAGTTACACAGACCTGGAGTAACTACAAGGATAACGGCTTTTGGCTTTTCTCCAGCTATCCTGATCTGCAGACTCATACTATGTCAGGAACCTCAGAAGTACTGATGGTGGATGGGAGGGCGGAGGCCTGTCGGGTCAATGTAACAGCCAGGCAATTAGTAGCCTCTGTATTTCCCATTTGGTATGTGTATTTTACAGCAAGTTTAACAGTTAAAATGCAGTCTTGCCTAAAAGGGCGGTAAATAAAGTAGAACTCCAACTTTTATATTTTCACTTATCTGGGCCAGCTTGTCTGCACAAGAATGCTATGTAGCACTTGTTAACATCAATAAAAACATCTGCCCAGATCTAGCTCTGTTTGTGCAAAGGTTGCACAGCCAATTCTCCTGTTGACCACTGTTGTTGAGTAGCTCTTCAAATTACATGGGGGAAATAATTACCTTTTTTGATGCTGCTAATGGGTGCACGCTCTTTTTAGTATGAAGAGTCTAATGATCGGGACCCGGAACTCTCGATTCTGGGTCACATGACCGCTTTGATCGGTCACTGTGCAGCCCTGCCCCCTTGTTTTTTCTCTCTCTATAAATTGTATCTGTCTAACTCTTGGCATAGAGAGAAAAAAAAAAAAGTTTGTTTAAAAAAAAAAAAGAAAAATATTAAAAAATAAAATAAAGAAAAAATACCTAGATCAAGTTTTGATCTAGTTCAGTGCGCACTATTGTTTCTGGGCTGTACTACGGGAACAAATAACGTACACATATATGGTATCGCTGCGATTGTCAAGAACTGGAGAATTTATTTGTTGTTGTTCTTTGGTGGTAGGTTATGGTAGTAACAAGAAACACACAAATAAAAAAAAATATATTTTTTTAGTATTTTGGGCTAGTTTTCCTTTGATAATAAAAAAAAATCCATTACCATTTACCACCAAATGAAAGCCCAATTTGTCTTGAAAAAAACGCGGTATAATCCACCTGGATGTACAAAGTAGTTGTGATGATATGTACAGTTTTACTAACACATGTCAACGTTGCAAAATTGTGCTTAGGCATTTAGATTTGTTTTACCCTTAGGCGTGAAGGGGTTAAAATGCATAAAAGTGCATACTCACAAACCAAAGGAGATCAAAACAGAGACAAAGAGTCCCAAATAACGGGAGACCCTTGATGATGCATTTTGGGAGACGTACTCCCTTCTTCAGAGCTAAAATATAGGCCTGACTTCTAGTTACACAAAGCCACAGATTTTCATTGTGCACCATTACAACCTTCTAGTGTTGGCATTCTAACAACCAATGATGCCATCAGTTGATATGGAGGATGTCGGCCGCCTGCACAGTATCCTTGTTTGCCCTTCCCAGTAATGGAGTAAAATTAGTTGAGTGATAAGAGAAAAACTGAAGGAGAAGAGAAACATTGGAATACTATTCAGTTTCAGTGTGCAAAAGTGTATTTGCTTTGGACAAATACATCCCCTCTAACATTGGGTGTTCTACATGTGTGGGTGTTGCTGCAATACGTAAAACTATTAAAATAAGTTTTTACATTTTATAATGGGGTGCCTTGAAACTGTCCATAATTTTAAAGTGTACCTCAAGGTTATTCATAACTTTAAAGGGAGCCTTGACACAAAAAAAGGTTGAGAAACACTGTTTTAGTGTAGCAGGGGCACTGTGTTGTCAGCTGTTGTCAAACAGGAAGTTATGAGTACATTGGATTTCTGACCAGTCACCAGCTACCTCTCTTTACTTGCAGTATTTGTAAAGTGACATAACATGGGAAAATGATCATATATTGCAGATGTGTACCAGATAGTTTTTTGTTCTCAATTTGCTGAGATGTATACTTTACTTCCCGTCCGGCCCATGTATATAAATGGCCGGAGGGGAGCTGTGCAAGGGCGGGTGGCCATTTATTAACGGCCTCCCCGCCCCCTGCTTGTGCGCACTCCCTGGGAGCGCGCAGCACCACGATCCGGTGCCCGCTGTGTCCTCCGGACACAGTGGAACACCGATTGTTGTACGGGACCTCTGTGCGAGGTCCCGATTATGTGATCACTGATTGGCCAAGCAGTGATCACATGAAGAATAGTAAGAAAGATGTCACTTCTGACATCATTGCTTACTACGTGTGAAATCTGTGAATGATCACAGAGATCACATGGTATAAGGCTATTCACAACAGACTTGTACCATGTGACAAGCTGTGACCAATGACAGCTCTCACAGTGTTTCTCAATGGATGCAAGAATGCAGCCAGAGAGAAGGAGAGATGATTGCTTTTACAGCCTTTATGGGTGTAAAAGCAATCAGTGTAAAAAAAAAAAAAAAATCTTCATAACCCCTGACATGTTATTATGGTGACACTGTACTGCTAGGGTGGCAGTATGTAAAAAAAAAAAAAAAAAAATTAATAATTTAAAAATACATTTTTTAAATTATAATTTTTGGTTATAAATTAATTTGGGTTAATTATTTATGCTTTTACTAAAAAGATAACTGAATACATTTTGGCCAAGATTTATGAAGATAGAGTATTTGCAAAAGTTTATAAGAAAAACACTTTTTTCAAAATGTTTGGACATTTTCATTTACATAGCAAAAAAAAAAAAAAAATCCCAGTGGTGAATAAATACCACCAAAATAAAGTTTTATCTGTCTCAAAAAAATGCTAAAAAATTCATATGGGTACAGTGTTGCATGACCGCGCAATTGTCATTCAAAGTGTGATAGTGCTGAAAGCTGAAAATTGGCCTGGACAGGAAGGGGGTAAAAGTATCCGGACTTGAAGTGGTTAAGGGCTGTGGGAACAGCTTATATGATATAAAAGGATACATCCATCCAGTTTACCTAAATTTTCTTCATAATCTTTCAGTTCACCGACCTCCTGTGGATTTGTCTCAGCCCGTCCTGAGAACATGCAAGATCCCAGTGCCCTCCCACCTGTCACCCAGACCTGTCTGGTTGGAGTCTATAACTAACCAAGATCAGGAACTGCAAGGGCTGGTGCACCTCCACCCCGATGTGTTTGATGTCCCTCCCAGGTCGGTTATCAGTCTGCACTGTATTTTAATAAGTTGCTCCTTTCTAAAATGACTGCATCCCATCTTAGTGTGTCACTCGTATCTGCTTTGCTTTCTTCAGAATTGACATCCTTCATCAAGTTATAACATGGCAGAGAAACTACAAAAGGATTGTAAGTATCCCCATTTGCTTTATTTCATGCAGTTTCTCCAGAGCAAAGACCAAAAATATCATGTTAAATATTTAGACAGATACCTGGCTATAACATATGAGAATACCTCTTGGCACCGGTTCCAACATTTGCAGTTGCAAAACACAGTGCGATTGCAGTGCTATGTTGGACACTCATAGGGACCACGGTGTTTCCTGCACAGCATTGCAGTCGCATTGTGTTTTGCAATCTGCTGCGAGTGTCTATTCAAAGTTAACAGCATCCCAAAAGCAGGTCGCAAACACAGTGCGTTTGCCTGAACTGGATTGCATGGTACAAAACAACCTCTCGTGCGGAAGGGTCAGACTATTACTGCTGTAGGTGTTCCTGGGTATGTGATTTTCCCTCACCATGTGATGGATCCAGGTGATAGATGTCAGAACAAAATGAGAAGAAAAATAATAAATAGGCGCCAGGGCATTTAAAATCTAATTAGGTGTTCTAACTCTTCTGCACTCTATCCAAAATTGAAACAGAACGTTTTGGCTGGAATTGAGTCTTAACCACCTAATAGTTTTCCACATTTAATCCTTTTGAATGATTTCTTGGCTTCCCCCAACCATTGCTGAATTTTCCATACATTTAACTACCACTTGGTGTGTCTTCTTCTCTGCAATCTCCTAACCTCATTTCCCTCTCACTGACAGCTGCTTGACTTTCACTTTCCCCTCCCTTAACAAGCTCTGTAATTATTATATAAAGTATTTTCTTCCTCCAGAGTTATGCCAAGACGAAGACCCGAGCGGAGGTCAGAGGAGGAGGGAGGAAGCCCTGGAAGCAGAAGGGAAGTGGACGAGCTCGGCAGGGAAGCATTAGATCACCTCTGTGGAGAGGAGGTATGTGTTTTATATCAAATGTGGATTTTTAGACATTAAGTTTTTATTTGTATTAAAAGGTTGCTTGAATAATTTAGCTCTTTATCCATACCATACAACTACAGGAACTCTAGGTGCCTGACTCCTATTAGAAGAACATTGGAGGTTTGAGGAGAAATTGTCATTTGTGATTCAAACCTGAAAATGTTTTCCATGTTATCACTGAGAACCTTATTTAAATTGGATAGGTAAAGTTGATGCAGGGAATATCCGATTGCCTCTCGGGGGATCAGGAATTCATTTTTTTTCCCAGCAGGAGCAAATTGGATCATGCTTTGCTGGGTTTTTTTGCCTTCCTCTGGATCAACTGTGGGTGTAGGATTATAACTTTTTTCTTTAATGGTTGAACTGAATGGACTTTTGTCTTTTTTCAGCCAGACTAACTATGTAGTTATGGACCTAATAGGGAAGTGCTTACCACTTATAAAGGCCAGCCATACACTGTTAAAATTCTCTCATTCTGCAGTGTGGATTGAAGAATCTGCACTGCCAGCTATTGTGCGCAGATGGCTGTGGGATCTGCGACTATCTGAAAACCTGAACAGTAACTTAGCTACTATTTAGAATAGTTTCTTATTACATAACCAGCCATTTCTATGCTAGAAATGAGAGCTCTGACTTTGGTGTTGCTCTGCCCTCATCCAAGCCACCATCCAATGAGAGCACCTAATAAACTCTAGCAGTATTGTGAATGGATAGTGGGCTGGCTAGGGCAGGGTATAGCCCAAAAGCTGAAGCATGTGCAGCCCCAGTGAAACTTAATGAGGCTAACGTACTAAAGGAGTTGAGAATCTTCACAAGTTGTATGCTCACTTGAGCTATCCAATTATATCGGTTACAGGATAGTTATGCTCTGCTATTTGTGCAGATTGTGTGCAATCACCCTTGTAGTTCTGTTAAGCCAGCCTTACCTGAGGGGTGTATATGATTAGTGAGTCTTTTTCAGTGTGGGGGTTTAACTTTTCCATAACCTTGCCCAGCTTTATAAGCCTATACCCAAAACAGCAGCTTTTTCGGCTGCCATGCTGTGAGAGACCACTATATTACAGAAGAGGTGAGAGTGCAGCATTCCAATATAATACATTTTTCAACCGGGGTACCTCAACAAAATGTCTAAAAGTTGCCCAAAAACTGTATACAAGCCAGCGGGTGGATCAAGCCTGCCTTTTAGTTTAATAAACCACAGGTTTTCATTGTGAGCCCTTACAGCCTTTTAGCCACTGGTGTCCTAACAACTAATGATGTCATTGATTTATAAGGAGGACATCAGGCCCCTGCACAGCATCCCTGTTTGCCCTCCCCTGCCCTTCTCCATCAGCGCTGGGTCACACTAGCCGAGTCAGGGAGAGAATCTGAGGGAGAAGAGTAATCTTGATATACTAGTCAGTACCAGTGTGCAAAGATGTGTTTTTGCTCTGGAAGAATAAATCACCTCTTTCTCTGGGTGTCGCTGCAATATGTTAACTTATCTCTTTAGTTTTTTACATTTTAGAATGGGGTGCCTCGAGATTGTGCAGAATTTTAAAGGGTGCCTTGACTGAAAAAAAAAAAGGTTGAAAAACACTGCAGTAGAAAACAGCCATGTTACAAAAAACTCCTTCATGGTACAAGACTCTGTTGTTAAAAGATAAGTTCACCTTTTCAAAAAAAATAATAAATGCACTAGTTAAAAAAACTGTGTTTATTTTTATTGGGAGCGTGTAAAGCATTGCACCCACGATCAGTAGATCGTGGGTGCTATGCAAGGCTCTTGCAGACTCTGTGCCTAAGCTGTCTGTTAGTACCTCAGACAAGCAGTCAGTAACACTGTGACCGGAAGCCTCATTGAACTACCACAGTGTTCACCAGTGCTGTGGTAGTTCATTGTGAACTACAACCCTACAGCCGCAAAGGCTGTCAGTAGTTTTAGTTTCCCATTCATAGCATCACATTCATGGCAGCGTCCTTTTTTTTTTTTTTTTAATTGTGGCAGCAGACATGGGGAGAAGATCCCCGGTCTGCTGTCATAGCGGGGCTTTGGGGGGGGGGGGGGGGTTAGGGGTTGGGAATGGGGGCAGCTGCAGCAGTAAAATGTTACACCCTGAATACAGGTGTAACATGTAGCATGTTCGAAGAGGTGAACTTAGCCTTTAGGATACATGTTATAAGTGACTATCATTTAAAATGTGCTGCACCTTATACAGTCATTGTAGAGCAACTATGCTATAAAACAATGTCATGAGAGAGCAACTTTGTATAGACTGCAGAGCAACGCTGAAGCTTTGCACCAACCTCCCTAGAGTGCTTTCTACTCGCTTAAAGTGATATTAAAAGTTAAAATGTTTAAAAACCAAAAATAATGTTATACTTGCCTGCTCTGTGTAATGGTTTCGTACAGAGCAGCCCCGGTTCTCCTCTTCTGGGAGCCCCCGCCAGTGCTCCTGGCTCCTCCTCTTTTTTGAGTGCCACTATAGCAAGCCATAAAACACACATAGCAAGCTTTAAAATACACAGAGCGGTGCTCAGCCCCCATTATCCACCCTCACCTCCGCAGCCCTCCTTACTGATTGTGATTGACAGCAGCAGGAGCCAATGGCGGAGACCTGGGAGAGTGTCCACTCTTTTGCAAATTGCTGGATCGAGATTGGGCTTAGGTAAGTATCAAGGGGGGGTTTCATACTGAAGGTATCTTACCTTCAACCTTCAGAACCACTTTAACAGCCTTGCCTCTCCAGTGCACCACTTCTGGGTATGGGACACATCTTCACACCCTTCCCTGCCTTCCACAGGGCAATGCTAGATGCTTTTATGACCTAAAACCATTAAAGCCAGCTCTGATGACTGCATAATGTGCTTACAAATTTTATTTCCAAAATCATCTTCCAGAACAGCTACTTGAGATGGTAGGCTCTGTCTTTCAACAGGAAACACAAACCAGAAAGCACTTAAAGCAGAGTTCCAGTCAGTTTTGTGTTTATTAAAAGTCAGCAACTTCAAAAACTGTAGATGGTGACTTTTAATAAACAAACACTCACCTGTCCCAGGGTCCAGTGATGTGCTCACTCGCGCCATCCCTTCTCTCCCCGGCGCTGGCATCACAACTGTGGGCACCAGGCTTTTACAGTTTGCGGCTTCACAGCCGGGTGCCCACTGCGCATGTGCGAGTCGCGCTGTGCATTCTGATTGGTCCAGCAGTCTAGGAGACTGCGGGAGGATGGAGGGGGGCTGAACTGGAAATGGGAGCGAATACCTGTCAAAAACAGGTATTCACCCCCCCCCCCCAAAAAAAAGGAGGGGGGGAAGCAAACAAGTGGAGCTACCACTTTTGAGTGGAACTCCGCTTTAAAAAGCTCCTCCCGCCCCTTCATCTTCAGTTGTTTCATGTTTCTGACTGTGCAGGAGTACATACATGTTTATGTTCTCCCTCGCTCTGATAATTGTGATTGTCACACAGGTTGCAGTATTTCACTGTGTCCTCCCTACCTGAGTGTGTCTGTTTCTATAGCTGGATCTTGATTTCAGAAGTAGGGTTAGAGGAAGCTCCTGCATAGCTATGTGTCCTGTCTGGCAGTGTTCTCCTGAGGTTTTCTTGGTGTGCAGGGGAAGTTCAACTGGCATGCTTTTCTGGCATGCCAGTTGAACGGCCGAACAATTCACCCACTAACAGTGCGAAAATCGGCCGATTTTTGACATGTCTATGGCCGGCATTAGCCATAAGATGAGTACCATGAAAAATATACACTAGAGCATAGAAAACCCTTTGTTCCTGGTGTAGGTAATTAGGGAAAATGTTTGTTCAGTTCTCATAATTTGGGATTTTCTCCCGGAGGGCTTTGAAATGAGATTATAAACCCTCACATAAACCCAGTGAATGGCCTCAGGTGATACAGAGTTGAAACAAATCTTTCTAAATAGGGCCCCTTTCAGACAGGGTGGATCCGTCAGTGGATCTGCTTGCTCAGCAGGGAATCTCTGCTGATGCCCACTGACCAAGTGGATGACAGGTCTGTGTCCACTCTGCTATGCAGAGCAGACACAGCCGCTGTTTTCCATGGGGTGGACGGATGGAAATGGACCGCCTGTCCGTTTCCACCCGGCTCTCACCCAATCCATCAGACGGATGGGGAATGAATCCCCATCCGTCCTGTTTCTACTGTACAGGATTGATATCGGATGCCGACTGGTCTCAGCGAACACATGGATGGTCCGATCAGCTCCGCCTGAACTGACAGGCGGACCTGATCAGACCGTCACTGTGAAAGGAGCCTTAGTTGTACCTGTTTATCTAGAGTTATCTTTCCCCTACATCCAAAGTGCAGAATTTACACAGGATGTCTCAGCTCTGAATAGCAGGGGGCAGGGAGCTGAAGTTGCACTCAGTGAGAAGCGCTCTGGGAGGTGAATGGAGAGGGAAGAGACACACCCTCCTCCACCCAGCACACAGGAGCAGAAAGAGGCTGTCAATATGCTGGAGGTCCTCCCTTGCCACCATTTTTCTCTTGTTGTCAGGAAAACTTATCAGAAGTGATTCATACTGATAGCAGAGGAATGAAGCAGCAGACAGAAATGACACTTAGTGCTCTAAATTGAGATCGGTACACACTACAGAGGGATATTCTATGTTCATATTTCATGTCAGAGGTTTACAACCACTTTAACCACTCTCCTACAGGGCACTTATACCCCCTTCCTGCCCAGGCCAGTTTTCAGGTTTCAGCGCTGTCGCACTTTGAAGGACAATTGTGCAGTCATGCAACACTGTATCCATATGACATTTTTCTCATTTTTTTGAGACAAAATTTTTTTTTGGTGGTATTTAATCACCTCTGGGTTTTTTATTTTTTGCTAAACAAACCAAAAAAACTGAAAATTTTGAAAAAAAAAAGGTTTTGTTATAACATTTTGTAAGTGATTTTTCACCTTCACTGATGTGTGCTAATGAGGTTACAGTGATGGCCACTGATGAGGCACTAGTAGGTGGCACTGAAAGGCAGCACTCATATGGCACTGATAGGTGGCACTGACTGGCATTGATAGGTGGCACTGACTGGCACTGATAGGTGACACTGAAAGGCAGCTGAGATGAGCACTGATATGTGGCATTGATGTGCACTGGTAGGCACTGATATGTGGCATTGATGAGGCACTGATGGGCACTGGCAGGTGGCACTGCTGGGGCTACACTGATCATCAGTGCCCTGATGATCAGTGTACATGTCCCCTCCAAGGAATGCCGATTACTGGCTCTCCTCTCCTCTTGAGCTGTCAGCGTGACAGCTCTTGAGGAGAGAAATGCCGATAACTGGCATTTCCCTATTTACATGTGATCAGCTGTGATTGGACACAGATGATCACATGACCGAGCCGACATCTTCAGCTCTTTCCGTTGATCGGTGATCTGCGCGGTTAGAGTGGAAGGACATCATATGACGTCCTCCCAGAACGAGAGAACCGCCTTGCGCTGTCATTACCTTATATGGCGAGCGGGAGGCGGTTAAGGTTCAGGTAGTAGCCTTGTAGCTAGGGAACATTGAACACCTAGAGTGATAAAAACTGCTTCTTCCTAGGTTTGTCTTTAGTACAAAATGCCCTTACTAAAGAACCTTTTGAGCCCATCAATGATTCTGCTGTTAAAGGGATAGTAAACTATGTAGTAAAAATGAAAACAGAATTCTCCGTGTAAGGTAAAGGCATAATGTCCTAGTAAGCTTTGCATACTAGCACATTATGAAAGAATTACCTTGAAACGAAAAGCCCTCCAGCGGCACGCTGTCACCACTTAAAGGACTTCCATCTTCACTCGGTCTTCCTTCTGGGTTCGCAGGCTGGAACAACCTAAATGGCTGAGCCGCAATGACATAATTCCGTTTAGGAGATATTCATTTTACCTACAGGTAAACTTTATTATAAGCTGACCTGTAGGTAAAAATCAAAAAAGAGAGTTTACTACCACTTTTAAGTTTATTACCCTTAAAGAGGAACTAAAGTTCTGCTGTCACAAATAAGCAGACTTTTTATTGCAGAAGACATGTGCAATGTTTCTTCTGCAATTAAACACACCTATCTGTCTTTCCCTGCATGTGAACTGAGCTGCGGCATGGTCCTGTGCTAGGATGATCGACTCCTGTGCATGTGCAGGAGTGACATTATCCCATGCCAGGCCAATAAAGACGGCCGAAGACTGGCACCCAGGAGAAGATGCCGGCACCATTGAGGGACAGGGATTCATGAAGGAAAGTTACGTTTTTAGCTCCCCTTTAGGATGGTATTCCTGCTAGCTGCCATTTCAGCTAGAAAGATTGGGGAAAAATATAAGCTTTATCAGATCCTTTCTTTATGGTTTTACAGTTTTTATTATTAAACTAAAGACCAAACTTTTTTTGGTTTTGGACAGAGTGGAGAAGGATTAGCACCCCTGTCAGTGTTTACTGCTGTCTGTACCCCCATTAGGGAGATTCCCCCTCACCATTTGTCCTGTTTACCATTGTCAATGAAAGTAAAAGAAAATCCCAATATTTTGGGCAGACCCCAGAAAAGTAATGGAGGGGAAATCATCCAGTGGGGACTCTAGTTCTGGTAACCTGGGTGGCCCCTAGGGATTCCCTAAATTTGCAGGGATTTCCTCTCACTTCCTGTTTTGGCTATGGCAGTTCTTGAAATTTCCACTCACCTGCTCGCCAATAGAGAGTGGAAATTATGTTGGGGGCGAGTGTGTCCTCCAGGGCCGTCTTGCTGATCAGGCTCAGAGCTCAGGCTGGATCTGTCACTTGCACTGGGAGCCATCAGACTGCTCAATAGCTGAGCGCAGTGAAAGAAAAGCAAGGAGTGTGTGCTGTGCTCACTGCCTCCCCCTAGAGTGCAGTAACCGGCTCTGTGAGTGAACAACGAAGTACTGCAACTTTTTACTGTGCGTGTGTGTGTGTGCGCGCCTACGTTCAGCTCACTCTGGTCACATGATCTTCTATGTCAGCCAGTGGTGGTTTCAGGGGAGAGGGCACTTAACAGCGTGTGTGTTTGTGTGTGTGTACCTGTGTTTGTCTGTGTGTATGTAAATGTGTATCTGTACGTATGTGTGTCTGTGTGTACATGTCTGTGTATGTATGTACATGTGTCTGTGCGTGTGTATTTCTGTGTATGTACATGCATCTGTGTGTATGTGTGTCTGTACGTGCCTGTGTGTGTATACATGTCTGTATGTGTGTGTGTACATGTGTCTTTGTGCATGTGTGTACATGTTTCTGTGTGTATGTACATGTCTGTGTGTATGTGTACAGGTGTCTGTTTGTGTGTGTTTGTTGGTGGCAAGTAACTCTTAAGGCCTGGCTAGTAGCTCAGGACTTGAAATTTTAAGCTATGGGACAGGAAGTGAAGGGAACTCTCCCCAATGGGATGCAGATGGCAAAAACATAAAGTGACAGGTGAGATGACAGTCCCTTAATCTATACAAAATGAAAAAAAAAAAAAAATTTGCCTATAGTTCTGTTTTAGGCTATAACCAATCTGTTGCATTTCGATGTACTGAGAAAATGCGTAATATAAAAAAAACCCGAGCGAATATTATCAGCTGGTTTCGTTTTCATTCTGTGTATAAACATATTTAGTGTGTGGATGCTACTTAGACAGCCTAATATTTCCTTTTGTACAAATATCTCGCTCACGGAATAAAATTTTGATATGGACACATTCCTGTGTCTCTGTATCCCGTGCCCATGGGAGAGAATTAATCGAGCAGAAGAGAGAAACAAAAGACTGGCAGATTTAATCCCTTGGGGATTATCAAGTAAACCCAACTTTAGCCACCTTATGTACCTTCCCGAGATATCCTCTGCTTCCTTAGCTCAGAGATGGTTATTCTCCCAACTTTCTGCAGTTCCCAGAAGAATCACAAACAGATAACTTTTAGTTTTCTTGATGTTTGTTGAAATATCTGAAGGTTATAAAGGACTTTAGAAGGCCTAGCCACCTTCTGGTCTTGCAAAAGTGGTCCCAACAAAGGGCTTGGGGCCTCCATTGGCAGGTAGATTAGGGAGCCTATTATTTCAGCATATAGGACAATGTCAATGCAGGACAACAATCACCAGCTAGGATTAGAGCTCACTCTACAAGGTCAATGAGTGCATCATGGGCAGAGAGGGCAGATGTTCATGAAAAGAAATCTCTAGGGCCGTGTTATAGTCCATAAGCTATGCTTTTGTGAAACCCTAACATGTCGAACTGCTGTCTGGCCTGGACTTCTCCTTTGGAAGGAAGGTGTTGCAGGCTCTGTCCCCCCCAGAGTATGACTACTTCTATATCCTCTCAAGTAGCTGTCCTGAAAGATGGTTTGGGAAAACTACAGTTAGTATTAAGGATAACTATCATCGAGAATCTTCCAGGACATTGGAAGGTTTCCATCATGTGGTGACAGTTGTATGCTTTATTTTTGTTCCCTTTGTACATATTTGTGATGATTCTTTCCTTTATAATAACTGAGGATGAGGGTACAGGAAGAGCTTTTTATTGCTTTCTGTGTTTTCTGTTGAAGGCAGGTCCATTAACCTCAAGTAGCTGTCCTAGAAGATTCTTGGAAATACTGTTACAGTTTGGACTGGTATTAATTTGAGACACAGGGCTACAAATCCAACCTGGTTTAATGAGGTTTGAGTCTCATCTGGGGACCGGGGTACATTTGTATTTTCTCACCAGATTTGAAAGGCTCCAATAAGAGCCTGTATTACACATTTTTTGGCACTAGCTAACCTTGTTTGATTTTAACCTTTACCTTTTACCCCCCCCCCCCCCCCCCCCCTTCTAATTGTGTGCCATGTTATATACTGTGTACAGGTGGTGTAGCCCATGGTCCTCGTGGCCCCAAAAGCTATTATTACATGCTGCCCATGAAACTTCGAGTCCTGGGATTGAAGATGGCTTTGACTGTAAAACTTGCTCAGGTACAGTACAGTGTCTTCCAGGATGTCCACATGAGCTGTTTGTTTTTATATGGTATAAAATCCATAACCCTGCCTAGGTGGTGTCTTCTTTCCTGTTATGTAGTTTTCATTTTGGAATGTGTTTCTTTTCTAACACTGCTGTCTATAACGTGTCCTTTAACCTTTTCGCTGCCAGAGCCGTTTTTTGCACATATGTTTAAATATAATTTTAGGCCTGAAGATTTTAGCAGCCACCTTAGAGACTAATATAGTGGTAGTTGCATTTTTGTATGTCACGCAGTATTACCGCAAAGGTCTAGGAAATGTAAAATTCCAGTAAAAAAATACACCAAAGTTAATTTTATCGCACACAGATGCAGTAAATTGCCCATTTTTTTGGTAAAATATAAAAGATGATCTTGTACCGAGTAAATAGATACCCAACTTGTCAAACCTTAAATATGCTTGTGCCCATGAAATGGCTGCAAACTTCAGTACCCTATATTTTTCATAGGTGACGCTTTAAAAGCCTAAATGTATAGAAATCAGCGAGCGCTTATAATGGTAAAAAGCAGCTGTACACTAAAAGGAAACCACAAATCTTCAAAATAAATATATAAAAAATTGTTCAGCGCTGAGGTACTAGATAAAATACACGTGTCAAATAGATGGACTCAAAAAAATATATACAAAACACATAGTCCCAAAAATGATGAAGACAGAGTATTATGGTGTGACCAAAGTGACTTGTGCTAATCCAGATAAGGTGTATCCCCACAGTCCATGTGAGCGGCAAGCAAATGGTTAAAGTGCGCACTCACCGGATACGCATAGATTATGCGCACTATATATATCAATGAAGGTCCGCCCGGAGTCCCTCTTAGGATGGTATTAGAGATGACAGTCGGGGGTGGATGATAACACGTCAGGGTAGACACAAACCCCTACCCTGACGTGTTATCATCCACCCCGGACTGTCATCTCTAATACCATCCTAAGAGGGACTCTGGGCGGACCTTCATTGATATATATACTGTGCATAATCTATGCGTATCCGGTGAGTGCGCACTTTGACGCTTTAAAAGCCCCTTGTTAGGTCATCAGTTGGCGTTACGGAGGAGCCATGGTGCTAAAATGATATGTAACGTGTATTGCAATTGACATTTTCATGTGTACGCCCCCCCAATCCCCCACCCATCACGTGTTTACATTTGTAGGTGCATATATGTGGGGTAGGGGGCCTCAACAAAAATGTTGGGGGGGGGAGGGATTTTATGTGCTTGGGTGCAACTTTAATTTTTTTACAATTTAAATTTTTTTATTTTTTTTTTACTTAAAGCTGAGTTTCACTCGCTCTGTAAAAAAATAAGTCAACAGCTACAAAAACTGTAGCTGCTGACTTTTAAAAAACAGCCACTTACATGTCCCACGATCCCACATTGCCCCCCGCCGCAGCCCATTTCACCAGCCGTCCTGTATTCCAGGCGCCGCCATCTTCAGTGTGGGCACCCGGCTGTGATAGCTTGCAGCTTCTTAGCTGGGTACCCACTGCACATTCGCGAGTAGCACTGCGCTTCATGAATGGCCCCATCGTCTTCTGGGACCTCTCACATGTCCCAAAAGACTTCGGGGAGGGAAGGTAGGAGGTAACTTCCGTTTCCGATCGCCTAGGCAATCGCAGTGGAAGTGGAAGCGGGTACCTGTCAAATTCGGGCACCCCCCCACTCCCCAAAGGTGCCAATCCTTAATGGGGAGTGGGAGACCAATCTTTAAAGCGGAACTTCCCCTTTTGGGTGGAACTCCGTTTTAACTTTCTTTTTCATCATATAGGGGGCAAAAAGTAGCTTATGTGATGATTTTTTGGTGACAGGTTCTCTTTATTGAGACATCCAGTGTCTAAAAGACCCTGCATGTCTCCCTTTGTGATCCACTGAGTCTAATGCTGTGCAGACCGCACTTCATTATCCTTTCCCAGCCATACAGGCTGGGAACGCTGACAAGGGGACCCGGAAGTGACGTTTTACACGTTGCTTCCGTGTCAGCAACAAGAAGGGGAAAAGAGCGGACGTGTGTCCGCTCTGCTCCCTCCCATTTACCCAAAGCACCCGCTAAGCCGGTCCTAGGCTTGCAGATGGGCAGGTGGAGCCCAAGATACATAGCAGAGGTGCACGTGGTGGGGGATTGCCGTTACCGGTGGGCGGCAGCACAGCCACCAGAATGCTTCCATCTGACAGGCAGGAATCTGCTTGTGAGATGTTCACACATTTCCAGTTGCTACAGCCACCAGGAGTGTGTGTAAAACCCTCAGTTGTCAGGTCCTTATGATGTACAGACCTGGCAGCAAAAGGGTTAAATGTAGGGATGCACCAAAATTTTGGTGGCCGAAACGTTTCGGCCAATATGAAAAAAAGCATCGATACAGGAGCCAAAAAAACACCGCTGCTCGTTAGTTCTCAGCCTTACCTGGGAAACCATCAAACGATCCCGGCGCTGAGCATAGAGATTAGTGAAGGAAAGGTGGCCTCCGCTCATCTCTATGCCCTTGGAGGACCGGAGCGATGTCCTTTCTGGTTCTGGCCATTTTTTTATTTCTCTTTTTTTTTAAAGATCAATGCTTTTTTTGATCCAATGCTTTACATTGCAGAGGAGAGATGTGGAGTCTTATTGATCCCATATCTCTCCATAAAGAGGACCTGTCACTAATTATTTCTTTCACAAGGGATGCATGCATTCCTTGTGATAAGAATAAAAGTGATTTAAATTTTTTTTTAAATGGACAGTGCAAAAAACAAAACAAAAATCCATTAAATAAATAAAAAAAAAGTTTAAAGTGCCCCCGTCCCCCATGCTCGCACGTAGTGGTGAACGCATACGTAGGCCATGTCCACATATTTAACGGTGTTCAAACCACACACGTGAGGTATCTCCACGAACATCGAAGCAAGAGCAATAATTCTCGCACTAGACCTCCTCTGTAACTTTACACTACTAACCTGTAGAAATTTTTAAAGCATTCATGGAGATTTTTAAGTACCACAGTTTCATGCCATTCCACGAGCATGCACAATTTTAAAGCGTGACAGGTTGGGTATCTATTTACTCGCCATAACATCCTCTTTCATATTTTACAAAAACATTGGGGTATATATTGTTGTGTTTTTTTTTTTTAATCAAAGTATTTTTTTCCAAAAATATATATATTCATTATTAAAAACTGTGCATTTTGGTTTTCGGCCGAGTGCATTTAGAATTTTCAGTTTCGGCACCAGAATTTTAATTTCAATGCACCACTAGTTAAATGTGTTATATTAAGTGTATGGGGTGAGAAATAAGATGTAATACTTATCTTATTCCTCATTTTAGCAGGCTCCCTCCATCTGTGCGACCGATTCCCTAAAGCCTTTTCTCTAAGGCGCTCTGGCTGGTGGTCGCACTCTGATGTCATCAAGTAGAATGCATGAACAATAGCCCTGCATTGTACGTAAGGACAGCAAGGGCTCGCCCCCACAAATGAGCTTGTCAGATAAAAAAGGAGAATGTTGGAGCCTGTCGGACTGAGGTATAAGAGGTATTCCTCCATCCCTAGATTTAACAAACATGTAACCCCTTATCAAATTAAAAAAGAAAAAAGCGCCACTTACAAAAAACACCAAAGTGTCAGCAGCATATCCCACCCAAAATAAATTTTGGCAACAACAATCCAAATTAAAAGGTATGCGCTAATAACAAACTTATACAAAAGTATATGTCATCATCCAAAAAAACATTAGTGTTTTAAATAAATTATAGTGTCCAAACATAAATTAGTGTCCAAAAAAATATATATAAGTGTCCAAAAAAATATATATATATCTTCAGTGACTTGAACCAATTGTGAGAAATCCACCACCAAAGGAGATTAAATAAACTCACCAGAGCTAATGGCTGGTCAGATTATAAACCAGCAACAGCGCTTGTGCTCTGGGAGCAATGAACCCGACGTCCAAATAGATATGGTGATGTTTCAGATACTTCCAGATAATAATCACAGCCAAACAACTTTGCAGCCCAAGCTCTTATGATGAACTTCTCCACTCTGTCTCATACCTCCATGAGAGCATGCAGTACACTCAGGGACAAAAAAGAGAACATAATGGTGCAATACGTTTTTTTCATTTATCTCTTTATTAAAAAAGGTATAAGGAAACTCACAAACAAGGTGTCCAACAGACACCAGCTTCAATCGCAAAAAAAGGGTTGAGATACAGTTAACGCTCACCGCAGATCTCTCCCATACAGCACAGACCAGCAAGGCTCTCTAACGTCCACATCAAATAGGCTACGCCCGACCGGTTTCGTCACACCGACGTCCCTTGATGACTGTGCTGTATGGGAGAGATCTGCGGTGAGCGTTAACTGTATCTCAACCCTTTTTTTGCGATTGAAGCTGGTGTCTGTTGGACACCTTGTTTGTGAGTTTCCTTATACCTTTTTTAATAAAGAGATAAATGAAAAAAAACGTATTGCACCATTATGTTCTCTTTTTTGTCCCTGAGTGTACTGCATGCTCTCATGGAGGTATGAGACAGAGTGGAGAAGTTCATCATAAGAGCTTGGGCTGCAAAGTTGTTTGGCTGTGATTATTATCTGGAAGTATCTGAAACATCACCATATCTATTTGGACGTCGGGTTCATTGCTCCCAGAGCACAAGCGCTGTTGCTGGTTTATAATCTGACCAGCCATTAGCTCTGGTGAGTTTATTTAATCTCCTTTGGTGGTGGATTTCTCACAATTGGTTCAAGTCACTGAAGATATATATACATTTTTTTGGACACTTATATATATTTTTTTGGACACTATAATTTATTTAAAACACTAATGTTTTTTTGGATGATGACATACACTTTTGTATAAGTTTGTTATTAGCGCATACCTTTTAATTTGGAATGTAACCCCTTATAGCAGTGGTTCTCAAGCTTCCTAATGCCGTGACCCTTTAATACAGTTCCTCATGTTGTGGTGACCCCCAACCATAAAATTATTTACCCATTAATTATAATTCATGAGTGTCGTTTTACCTCCAATACTGCTGCTTTCAACAGAGTAGCTGCTTTCTACACAAAAGCTGCTCTTTACACATCGGAAATATGTGTTTTCTGATGGTCTTAGGGGACCCCTGTGAAAGGGTCGTTCGACCCCCAAAGGAGTCGCGACCCACAGGTTGAGAACCACTGCCTTATAGTGTGGCAGGAGTACCCACTGAAAGGGTTTTTTTTTTCTGTAATTCTCAGGGTTTCAAGCCTAAATCCAGTCATTATGCAGTGTGTAGGTGTAACTGCATATAACTTTTTACCTTTTTTGTGTATTCGCATGAAAAATACACAGCTGTAGTAGTGGATAAGACTTGTATGTGTAGGTCAGTCCACATCAGTCTAACATAATGTCTGCATTATAAAACATGGATGTAAATGTTGTCATTTAGCTGCAAATGTAATTTGAAATATGTACGACTCAAAGTCTTTAGGATAGTGGTAGTCATTCAGCAGCATATTCATTTTTTAATATTACTGTCTCTCTCTACAGAATGACCTCCATATTATTGATTCCACTGACATTTCCAGCCCAGACCCTCAGTATCTTGTTGACCTCTTTAACCAGCGACATTGGGGAGAATCAATACTTATAGTTGACGTGTAAGAATCAGACCAATATTTTGCTGGTAATGTTGTTGTATGTACAATGCTAGAAGGAACTGATGTGTATCTTCTGGATGTCTGAATTAAAGCACAATAGTACAAGGAGCACCTAGTCCGCCCATGCAGGGGCTATGAATGGCACCATCAAGTGAAACAAATGTACATAGGAGGAATAAAGGAGGAGCATCCTTCACGAACAGTCACACAAAACATAAAATGTAAACCTGTTGTCGGAAAATACCCTGTGGGTATCAGAGGTAGCTGGATATCCATTTTCAAATTGAACCTGTACCCAGACAACGCACAGTAAAATATAAACATATTTGAACAAACAAGTCCTCATTCACCTCAGTAACTGTAGCCATTGTGGAGAAATTAATATATAGCCTGTGAATGGACAGTGAGAGGTGAAGCAGCAGATTGTTGAACTCACCTCAGTTACTGTGCTCCTATCTGCATTGTTGGCAAACGAGTCCCTGAGGTGTGGAATGAAAACTGACATTTTAATTTAAAAATGTCATAAACATGTTGATGGGGGGTGGGGTGAAGCAGGATAGGTACACTATAACTTTAAACTATATAACTATAGCTTTAAAGATTTTTAAACTACAAAAATTCGGCCACTTTGTAAAATTTACAGGCATTCCATTAGTTAAGTCCAACGAGGTGCATGCCACTTCCTGGACTCATCTATTAAATTCACACCTGACAGTTTAATGGAGCTCCTGGAGAATAGCTATTGCTACAATCCTAAGACACCTCCTTCTCTAGCAGCTCTGTCTGCCCCTCCCCTCTACTGGTCATTCATAAAGGCCTTTGTATTTTGTGAATGGGTTCACATAATACAAAGTGCTCTGTGATTGGGTACGGTTAGGGGTGGGCACAGCAGCTGTATATGACTCTGCAGATGAAGGAGCTGAGACCAGAAGGTTCAGCGTCAGAGCACCGGAAATGTAGCAATAGCTATACCCCTGGAGCTGTATAAAACTGTCAGATCTAAACTGAAGAGATAACTCCAGGAGGTGGCATGCACTTTTACAAAGGGGCTGAATTCCTGGAGTTCAGCTTTAGCGTATTTCCAACCAGGAAAGTGTGTCCTTTAGGCTCATGTAACCTCAGTACTTTCAGTGGCACAGCAAACATCAACAGATAGTCTTGTGACAGTGTTAACAATAGACTTGACCTGATAGACCAGTATATTGCAGAGCTAAGCAGGGAGTGCAGCATGTACTGAGCAAATATAACTGCACTTATGTACTTCTATATCCTTGTTTTCACTTTGGATATTCTGTTTAACAGCAATGAACATATGCCTGAAAACATTCTCACTGCAACTCTAGATTTGAAGAAGATCACCCTAATCCCAGCTATAGGTAAGTGTAAGGAATTGGTGTTGATGTTTAACCACTTCAGCTCCAAACCTGGGACAACCTGCCCCCCTGGCTTGAATTCTTTTGAGTCACAAATCCAGTAAGAACTGAGTGGACCTTGCCCTTCCTGATCTGTCTGAGCTACTGAGGAACTATGGAAGCATGTTAACCAAGCAGCTTGCCTTTTCAGAAGGAGGTCAACAATGGCAGGCTCCATCTTTCCCTCAGGGGAGGCTTACTTCAAAGCCCAATAAAGTATCCCACTATCTCTTTATATTCCTTTACCCTCAGGTGTTATGATCTTTTGACTTACACAAAAATTGGTGCAGCGCTGAAGGAATTAATATATAAAAGTGCACTAATAAAAATATGAAATTATTAAACACAAGTGATATCATGGGAGTGAATTGCTACAGTGAGCGCAAATAAATATATAAGTGCGGCTGTGAAAGTAAAAAAAACAGACAAAGAAAGTGTTCATATAATGGTGAGGGTCTGACAAACACCAGTCAGAAAATTGTGCCGCATTCAGATCCTGTTGCACAGGTGGTATCAAAGAATTCCGTGTGACTTTAATCCGTGCAGGGAATTTTGGTAAAAATACGCACTCACCAGATGCACATAGTAAAAGCGCAATATGTTGAATCATGTAATGACCATAAGATCTGCAGGAAGCCCCCATTTAGGTGGACCAGACAGCATAGGAAGAGAAGAGACTCCCTCCTCTGGATCTGAGACTGCTCTGCAACTGTTCTCCGGCTGGAGTCCTGGAAATCGTTTAGCTCATTTCAGAGCCAAAAAAGAAGGTGCTCCTAGTGTAGTAATTTGATTAGATTTATTTAGGTATAAAAATGTACATCATCCACGTGGAAATAGCCCCAAAAACAAAGTTTAAAAGTAGTGAAACTGACCAGCCACTCTCTAAGATGGCCACCGGACCTTCGTGAAGCTCCGGCGGCGTGAGGTCCGGGCGTACGGCTCCTCCTCAACCTCACAAAGGTCCGGCGGCCTTCTTAGAGAGTGGCTGGTCAGTTTCACTACTTTTAAACTTTGTTTTTGGCGCTATTTCCACATGGATGATGTACCTTTTTATACCTAAATAAATCTGATCAAATTACTACACTATGAGCACCTTCTTTTTTGGCTCTGAATTCAGCTAAACGATTTCCAGGACTCCTGCTCCTTGGAGCTTAAAATCTAAGGGAGGAGCTAGTGGTACAAAGGTAATAACTGTGGGGGATGGACTGGTTGGAAGAGTAGAAGATTAGATCATTAACTGAGGGCAGGATAGGCTTCCCTGAAGAGAGAGGTTTTCAGAGATCGCCTAAAAGTGAGCAGAGTAAGCGATAGTCTGATAAATTGGGGTAGAGAGTTCCAGAGGATGGGGGAAGTTCTGGAGAAGTCCTGGAGACGAGCATGGGAGGAGGAGACTAGGTAGCAGGAGGTCGTGTGAGGATCGGAGAGGACAGTTTGGGTGATATTTAGAGACAAGATTGGTGATGTAATTTGAGGCAGAGTTATAAATGGCTTTATATGTTATTGTTAATGTTTTGAATTTTATCCGTTGGGCAATAAGAAGCCAGTGGAGGGATTGGCAGAGAGGTGACAGATACAGAACGGTTAGTAAGGTGGATGAGTCTGGCAGCAGTATTCATGATAGACTGAAGAGGGGATAGCCTGCGATGAGGTAGACCAATGAGGAGGGAGTTACAATAGTCAAGGCCAGATATAACAAGGGAGTGAATAAGTTGCTTAGTGGTTTCCGAGGTTAGGAACGGCCATATCTAAAACTATGAAAATAGAGCAGTTAATACAGTGACTTGTGATTGCATAACTGTTTATGTGACTTTAACTGGGATTTAAATGTCCCCATCAATGTTTGTCTCCAGAAATTGGTACAATGTTGACCCTGTCTCTCCTCCTCCAGGTATAAATGTGTACAGTATGCTGAAATACAAAACACTTCTGTTAACAGTCAGAGCCGTGGATTTCTTAGAAGAGAAACTGCTGTTTCAAGATAATCGCTACTGTGGCCTGTACAATTTCAAGTACCCTTACAGTGACTTCCCCTAACGTCTGTGCGATATTAGTTTTTGTATATAACACTTTTCTGGAATAAAAAAAACAAACAAAAAAAAACTTTCATTTCATTTTTAGAAATTTTAAGAAATTTTACTTTGGCCTTGTACATAAGGACTTCAGCATGTGAAAGGCCAATGCATACAGAAAGTTTCTACAAAGTATTTCCAGTGTTTTTTTCCTGGCTTTAGACAGCTTTGTTAACCTATTCCTGACCACTCTATAGCAGAACTATTGCTACAGGTACATCAGTACAGTGTCAGTGCTTTTTATTAGCACTGATCACTGCATTAGTGTCACTGGGAATGTCAGTGACAGTTCCCCCCCCAGTGTCAGAATAACCGCTGCAGTCCTACTATAAGTAGCTGATCGCCACCATTATTAGTATGAAAAAAAAATCCCAGTGTATATATACCGCCATTTGTAGACGCTATAACTTTCACGTAAACCAATTAATTTACACACATTTGGGATTTTTTTTTTTTAGCAAAGACATGTAGCAGAATAATAATGGTGTAAACCTGCTGCGCTTCTACCTATGATAAATACAAATAACAGAGAGAAGCTGATAACATCCAATCATATACCAAATTAAATGAGATGAGAAATGATGCAGCGCTACTCCAAAGTAATAAATCACATATTCTAACCTAATATATACATAATATAGTACTAGGTGTCAGCCTAGACTCCAACCTGTCTTTCCCCAGGTCCAACCACTGACAAACTCATGTAGACTCCACCTCCGCAAAATCTCCAAGATACGCCCGTTCCTAACCCCGGAAACCACTAAGCAACTCATTCACTCCCTTATATCACGACTTGACTACTGTAACTCCCTCTTCACCGACTTACCTCACCACAGGCTATCCTCGCTTCAGTCTATCCTGAATGCTGCGGCCAGACTCATCCACCTTACTAACCGCTCTGTCTCCGCCACCCCCCTCTGCCAATCCCTCCACTGGCTTCCGATTGCCCAACGGATAAAATTCAAAATGCTAACACTGACGTACAAAGCTGTTCATAATACTGCCCCGAACTACATCACCAACCTGATATCCATCTACCACCCAAAACGTACTCTCCGCTCCTCACAAGACCTCCTACTCTCTAGTTCCCTGGTCTCCTCATCCCATGCCCGTCTCCAGGAATTCTCCAGGGCTTCCCCCATCCTCTGGAACTCCCTACCCCAATCCATCAGACTATCACCTACCCTCCTCTCCTTTAGACGCACCCTGAAAACCCATCTCTTCAGGGAAGCCTTCCCTGCCCTCAGGTAATTGCCGATCTCCTCCACTCTTCCTACCACTCCATCTCTCACAGCTATTTCCTCCTGTACCACTCTCCCCTCCCTCCTAGATTGTAAGCTCCAAGGAGCAGGGCCCTCGAACCCCTTGTGTATTGTTACTGTACTGTCTCGTGTACTGTCCCCCATTGTAATGTACAGCGCTGAGCAAACTGTTGGCACTATATAAATACTGTATAATAATGTAAATAAATGTGAAAGCAATATATAAAGTGACAACGTGCAAAGAACATAAATGTGACCTGATCCTCATGGGATCTTCAGATGTCTAACCTTGACCTGATCCTCAACGGATCCAGAAGTGAACAAAGTGGATAATAAACCACCACAATGATGGTAATAACAGAAATATGTGAACCAATACTTCAAAGTATAGTACAAAAATGAATAGATCCTAAGTGGGATCTGAAGTGATGGTGGATATAAAATGAAAAATAAAATAAAAGAATAAACTAGTCCAAATTGGAACTAATAAGTGATCTGTCCAACAATTTGGACTCGTATCAAGGAAAACGCATAAACATGCAAGTGTATATCTCTACAAGATCAAATGTGCATAAACAATACATATAAATTAATGAACCCCAAACACTAAATAGTGTTTCCATAAAAGATATATAAATCAGATATATATCGAATAAAAAAAAAATATATGCAATAGTGAAAATATCCCTGTGACTATATCTGACAATGAACATACAACAAAAACGCATGACACAAAACAACAAATATATGTGTAAAAAGTCCAAAAATGGTGCTCACAACACCATGCAATCCAGAAAAAGAAAAAACACTCGTGCCCGTGGATGGTGAATGTGGGTAACCACAGAAGGGTATCCGTAAGTAGCTGAATTAGCCGCTCACCTCCTTGCTTTGACCCGCAGGGGTCAAAACGCTTTTGGGATCACAAAACCGGATCCTCCCTGCATATGATTCCTGTCACAGGATACCTTTCTCTGCAATGATCTCCCTCTCAGGGATGTGCGTATTGGTGGCGATATCCTCTCCAGGTATACGGGTAGGGTGTAAGCCAATATCTTCCTTATTTCGGGCGCTTCTCTGTGATTTATTACTTTGGAGTAGCGCTGAATCATTTCTTTCTTGTCACATGGAGCAGAATACATTTTGGCCTAAATTTATGAAGAAATTAGATTTTTTAAATTTTTTTGACATGTTAATTAGCAAAAAGAAAAAAAGTTTTTTTTTCTCAAAATTATTTTATTATGCAAAAATAAAAAACACACAGGTGATCAAATCCCACCGAGCAAGAGCTCCATTTGTGGGGGAAAAAAAGACATAAATTTCATTTGGGCGCAGCGTTGCATGACCGTGCAGTTGTCAGTTAAAGTACCGTATGATAGCTGTGGGCCAATCACAGCATCACTGTATAGAAAACACAGCTGCTATGAATAAGATTTATTCAGAACAGCTTTATTGACATTCTGTTCGCAATCACATGATTCCTGGGCCACGCAAAATGGCTGGGTACCAGGAGCTAAGGGACAGAGGCTGAATGTGGATCTGTTATAAGCAATACTTGCATTAGGATAATGGGTAAGCCCAGGGGCCCCGGGCAATAGGGGATCATGGGGCCCCTGTGTTCTTGCCCAAACTCAAAAAAGCCTATGAAAAAGGTACCAGGGGCATCCTTACTAACCCCGGGCCCTCGGGCAGTGCCCGAATTTCCAAATGGTCAGTCCGCCCCTGGATAAGCCAAATCCACTTACTCTGGAAGAATATTAGTGTGATTGTTTGTTGTTTTATTGTTTAGTTGTTTATCACAGGTTACTTTTAGATTTGATAACTGTGTCATTGTTTGGGGTCATCCATGCTCCTTGCAGTCTGTAAGAGAAACATATGTAGGGGTTGATGTCACAAAGCTTTATGAGATACACAGGGATAGTCCCCACCCATTGGTGGTCTGGAAACACCCTCGGACTGATTGGAGTGCAGATACCACACACCATATGTTAGTCTGGGAGCAGCCAACAATCTTGTGGGCTCTGAGGAAGAGGATAAGTCCTCGAAACGCGTCAACCTGTTGAGATTCCATCGTTCTGCCACGTCATGATGTACTGCGGATTGAACGGTGCCGTTTCCATGAGATGAGCTTATACTTGTATCCTATTTTTGTGAGTATAATACTATATCATACAATAAAGCCATTATTGAAGGATAATGCACTATGCCAGTGTTCCCTCTGGTTGTTATTGCTGCAGTCAGTCACGGGAGTGGCGTGCTGTGTGCCCCTAACCTACACCAATCTGGATGACATACATGTTTGTGACCCAACGTGTGCCCACCCGCCCACAGTAAATGTAGTGTGAGCAGGCGGTAAGTGGTTAACATTGAAGCAGTACTGACCTTCCTGAAACCTCCTAGCAGGATAATTAAAATGACAGTCGGGAGAAGTGACTGGGGGGTTTATTTTTTAAAGCTGGAGTGTGCAAAATCAGGCTCAGTTCTGCATAGAAACCAATCCGCTTCCAGGTTTTATTGCCAAAGCTTAATTGAACAAGCTGAAGTCAGAAGCTGATTGGTTTCCATGCAGAAGTGAGCCTGATTTTGCACTGTCCAGATTTAATAAATAAACCCCTGTGTCTTTGCAAAGGGGCCTCCCAACCCACTAAGGCTCAGTTCACACTAGCTTTGTGAGCATGGCGTCAGACAGGCGTTTGGGATGCGTTTTTAACGCTTCTCAAACACCTATGAAAATTCTGCACATGGCAGCACACAGTGCTGTTCACTCTGAAGTGTTAGTGTCATGTCGCGGCAAAACTGATGCCTCGTGTCCAGTCAGGAGGAGTTGAAACCTCCCATTCAGTCTATGGTGGTCCGCTCCTCAAACGTCTAGGAGACGTTTACGACGCAGTTGCAGAGCGTTAATACCATTCAACTTCATTATAGTCGTTTGTGGTGCAGTTTTAACGCTTGGCAAACGCCTATGAAACGCCTCAAAACTGCATATAGGGCATTTGAGGAGCATTAAAACCGCTTCCCAAACACCTGTCTAATGCTATAGGGGCGCTTGGAAAGAGTTAGGAATAAAGTCAAGTGTGAACGAGCCCTAATACTCAATTTGCCAGTGATACCCTACAGCTCCGACCTATTTTGCATCTGCTGACATCACGGTGCTTCTGCATTTGACAGCGTTGGGGGAGTGCTGGCATGGTGAGTATTAGTAGGGACCCCTTTGCAAAGACATACTAGCCTGAATGGGCAAAGTGACAGTGGGGGATATTTACTAAGAGTTTGACACTGGTGCAGCTGTGCATGGTACCCAATCAGCTTCTAACTTCAGCTTGTTCACATAGGCCAGCCATACATGAGTTAATTTCCAAATTATTTTTCGTTAAAAAATCAGACCTAAGAATAATCAAATGATTTTCGCTCTGTTAGTGGGGCAATGGCGCGGGTCGATTTTCGTGGTTCCTCTCCATTTCGTTTATCGGGCATGTTGGAATATTCGTGTAGAACGACCAATTTTCTAAATCATTGGTGGCACTAGAACGAACGACGTTTTTTGAGTTTCTATTGAAAAACCGTTCGACCCATGTATGGCCTGCTTTAATCTTTGACAGTAAAACCTGGAAGCTGATTGGTTTCTCTGCAGAGCTGCACAAGATTTTTGCATGCTCCAGTTTTAGTGAATCTCCCCCATTGTCTCTTTAATTGGGTAACATTTTGT